AAGTCCTTGGAGTAGGTAAATTATTATGTCAACTTCAGAAATGGACCCAATTAGAAATCGGACATAGACAGAATAAAATAAAAACGTTTTTCTCGAGAGTAGCACCTTAATTGTGCGTTTTCACGAGTAGATGGATTAAAATAAAAACAGTCAAATGTCAATAATTAGTATACTAAGAACATTTTTACAGCAGACTTGATGTGAGAAAGTCCCATCCGAACCCTTGAATTCAACGTGTAAGCTAAATAACTTAAGTTTCATTTTAATAGTAACATGCATAATATATACAAATACCATGTCAACTGTTATATACGCCTACGCGGCTTGTGGGGAAAATATAATGTAATTTATTACTTAAATACTTCTATTAATTATTTTCCGTTTATTGCTTTTAGTAAGAAAAAAATTTAACGAGCACAACACAATAGTGTTGCCGGTTTGCTGTTGGTCACATTGGAGACATATTGGCCACGTCCAATGATGGATAATTACAAAATTTTATATCTAGGCCACAATCAAATGGCAATTCTATAGACAGTCACAGTGTTTCAAATAATACTTTTTTATGTTGTTTTAAAACCCGTTAATCATCTAAACGACAAAATATATACTTGGGTATTCAACGCATTATCGATCATTTTTACCATAGTCGTTTTTCATAAAATGTTTTATATTTTTTACAACAAAGAACAATTTTTTTTTTACATCTTATTATTATTCAATACAGCTATGGGAATATCGACGAAGGTATAAGGACGACAGGACCTTGATTTCATTAGAGAATTTTTTTTTTGTTTACCCGTAAACACCGTTTTCATTTCTTTTGGATGTCACACGTTATAGTAATAAAACTCTAATATCCGAATCGTTTCCGAGCCAAGACCCCTTTGTTGATTCAAGGTAGCCAAACACACTTAACATCATTGTCAAACGTCACTGAGAAAAATATACAAAATAGGTATATTCTATATTATAATACACACAAAGTCGTGTGATGGCCTATCAAACACGGGTAGGTACTACAGATCTCCACGCAGAAACGTCTTTGGACGAAACAAAGGCACTTTTTTTAAATTAAACATAACGTTTGTGTTTTGGACGGACACGGACGGGCGAACGACACGCGAAACCCCGGAAAACAGTGGTTCTCAACCAATAACTAAAAACGACCTATGAGGTTTCAACTAATATCATATACACGCATAGTGGACATTGAAAATGTAATAGTATGCGTTTATTGTGTTTTGTTTAAAGAATAACGGAAATAGTCAACGGTTTCGTTGATCAGCTGATTATAGGTCTGAGTATATTCTAACAACAATAATATTATGACCGGAAAGTTTTGTAATTGCAAATAAAAACAAAATATTTCCTTAACCAGTCAAGGACGGACCTACATTATACTTAACCGACTTAATAATATCTGATACATTAACTACACTGGTGCTTTGCGTTGTGTAATCATAAAGATCAATTTTTATGTATGTGTACCCATGCTAATGAAGTTTGAAACTAATATTAATACACTTTGATATCCTTGAAACATATTAAATTACACGTGAGTAGTATTACTTTCCGGACAACGCTTTTAATAGTAAACTGTATTAAAATAAAAATATTATTGATCACAATAATTATACTTGTATCATAAGCCTAGCACAATTAGTACGGCGACAGATCTTGTTGAGATTTCCAGAAATAGTAAAACCCCCTTTCGATCATACCGTTTGTATATAGTTGGACTATGAGGTAAGACGTAGGGTGAAATCAGTGGCGGTGCCAGCTATTATTCAATGATGGAATAAAGTCGGACTAACACTATTTTTGTCCAATGTTGCATACAAGTATACATTTGGATTCAATTTCATAATTTACAGGAGGGTAAAGCCAAACTTCATAGGGGTACTTACCCCATCTTACAACCGCCTAAGACCGTCTTTGAATAGAATCCCGATTGTAAAATTTAGAAACAGTGCCACATGAGTTTAGATTTTAAGCACTTAGTGTTTTTGATGTACTAATATCAATCAATAGCATTTTTTTCAGAGTGGTCGACCTGCAGAAGGCTTTGGCTATATGGATTGGTCGTTGCCAGTCAGAAACGGTGTCATAAAAATAGGTACGTCGGTAGTAAGTACAGAAAAAAAGAAGCCTTATAAACACAATAACATGAACGAAATGAAGTCGGGGAATAAACAAAATAACGAACACACGTTACAGTATAATGCTATTATAACGTCGAGGGTTGTGCATGGTTTTACACCTGGCAATCGCATACACCTACTGTTGACTTGCCGGTACGCGCACACGGTACACTATTATGATGTAGAAAACATTTTTTTTAAAACGTCATACCATCTGGTAAACACGGTCGGAATCATCCCATAAATAGTTTAACGCACTGGCATTGTTTTACCAAGTGATCAATACCTACTATCGGCTGCTCGCAAACCTAACGGGCGAGAGGCGGAAATCGAAACACGAAATCACGTTCTCTCGTGGAATGCAATGGTCATAATAATACTAATAATAATTAATAATTATTTATCCGCTCGACCGACCCTCTTAGGAATTCGGCCCAACACATGTACCGTACTGAAAAAATATAGGTAATAATATTATTATTACCCGTTTAATTTAAAGTACCCGAGCAAGCGCATCGTTAATAATAATAATATATAATATACTCTACCTATACTTGTTTAGGTACTTTAAAAAAAAAAAATGTTAATACGGCAGGTACTGTCGTCGTCCCAGCATAAAATTTGTATACCTACTATAATAGAATACCATGCAATATGTATCGCCATATTATTATAGCGGACAACAAAAAAAATATTATGTTTTTCTTCAATAACAACGAATTATTATTATGATGGGATATAGTAAAGAATACACTGGCGTTTTCGCATTGTACTATTATGATATGAAGCTCGAGTGCTTTTCAATGTAAACGTGACTAGCTCCGAGACCGAACGGCGTTTGTTATAACATTTTTTTAACCTTTCAAAAAACAATGAAAACCTCGTACAATTTTTCTATAGTTTATACCTAACCGTAGGCAGATTTTTCCATTAAGCGTCTCTGGGGCCTAGGCGTATAAAAAACAACTGCTTATAAAGAACGAAAACGTTTAAAAAAATGTCAATCAGTGACCTGGGAGCCTCTATAATGTATAGTTTAGATAGATAATGTCTTGTTTGAAATCCAATCCTACCGTCAACGTTTCTATGTTGAAACGCTGCTATAATTTCATAAATATTATTCTGGCCCGGATAGACTATTCGCCGTCTTAGCCATTTCGATTCTAAAAGATATAAGGTTAGGTTTGATGGAAAATATTTTATTACAGGCTCTCTCGGTCATTGTTATGTTCTTTCTATCAGCCAGAAGTACCGTACAACTCACATTACCCTTGCGGTGTACCTACACTAAAGGCATTGAAAGCCGATTATTAGAATAAAGTTCATCAGGTATTATAACCATCTCATGATGGCATCGTTGGGCTTCATGGCCTGTTAAGCTTGCATGATGTCGAGGGATAAGCGTGGCTTTGAAAACAAATATTTAACAATTGCGACTACAGACTACAGTCGTGGAGGTAAAAGAATAGTGTGTTTAAATCGATAAATTAACATATAATGCCTTTTTCAGGACATTGATAACGCGCATTTATATAATATGGTTTATGACGTCGAAGACCGGCTTACCCGCCATAATCCTAATAATAATAATAATACTATATTATTATAATGTGTTTATATCCTATTATTGTTAGTTACTGACCTACTATATCAGAGTGAAGTAAAAAAAAAAAAGAATTTTTTTTTTTACTTTGACGAATAATCACCGTTAAATAACGGCGGCTAATGAACGCTTACCGAAAGACACACAATGCGTTACGGTGTAGTGTTTTTGTAAAAATGGTCAAAAATGATTATTATTATTATTATTATTATTATCGCTCAGTCTAAATGCGCAATAAGAATATATTATTGTTATTGTATTATAATAAAAATTGTGTTTGGCCAAAAAGGATAGAGGTACGTACGCGAGGCGCAGCAATAACAATAATATGATTGTATTTCTTGAAATGCCATTAAAGTACTGTTAGCACCGTTAAATAGCTCGACAACAACGACTGATATTGCAAATTGCACGGTGTATAGAACCGATATTATTATAACAGACTGTGAAAAAAAGTGTACTACAATTCGGACGCGGTCATTATTATCATCGTGATCCAACGTACAAAATTCTATTTGGTTTTTTAGCCGTTCAAAAATCGTATCTTTTTGCCTCACAAACCTCTTCATCTTGTACGATGATATTGCCACCACACGGTACTACACCAAGTACATTTTGCTCGTTTTTGGGACCTATCATTTATCAACATACGTCTAAGATAACAGACGCGTCAACTATTGGCTGGTATCGCCTTGGTGTTTTTTTTTATGGCTTGTTTGCATACAATAAAAAATGACCGCTGCACAAGGACTTGGTCGTTGCCGAGAGTTGTCGTTGTTGTTGTAGTCTGACGGTCGTTTTATAATGGATCCGGAACGACACTCGTCGTCGTGTTATCATGACACCAGCAGAGAACGAAGATAAAAAAAAAATACTTTAAATCAAAATAGGCGTATTGTTTCCTAAAATAGCAATAGAAAATCTAATGTAGGCATTCTAGGAAACCGCGTTTGAATTCAATAATATCGTAGATTTTTTACTATAATAAACGAGAAAAATGAAATGGCGCTGCTCGACGGCAGTACCGGACTATTATGACTAGTGTTTCGGTCAAATGACGATTATGAGGTCACGTACACGTCTCCGTGCTGTTCTTGGCTGTGACGCGGAACGGCTATTCTCCGCCCGTTGTACAGTCAAGCAAAATTAGCAACGCAGCGCTGCCGCTCAACAAAAATGTATACACACTACCGTTGTCGATGCAACTTCAAAGGAAAAAATGTTTTCTTAAGATATACTCTTTTTGTACTTACCGATCAATGGTGATGGCGGAAAGTTATTACTGTATGGAACTGTGGACGGAGGGGATTGGCCGGCTGGTTGGGCGGCAGTCTGTCTTCTGCGGTTGTACTCCCGGCGAGGGGGTGTCGCCATGTTTTTGTAACCGGGCGGCCTATATCTGGCGGACTTGACGTTAAACTGGTGCATGCTGTGCGCCTTATAGATGCCGGTTAACGGGCTGGGCGAAGGCAAGGGCGTAGTGGGTAGCCTAGGTAACGAGTTAGTACTGGACGACGTGACCGACGGTTGCTGTTGCAGGCTCCGAGGTAACGTCGTCGACTTGTTGTGGTGACCAGAAGGCGCACCGGCGGCCGCGGCGGCGGTGGCATCGTCGCTGTCGGCCGCCGAGTCTCCGCTGTCCGGTACGCTGTCCCTTCGCCGGCCGTTCCTCCAGATGCGGTCCTCGACGCTGCCGCCTATGCTACCGCACGACCGTACTCGGTCCAACTGTTCTCTACTGCTGTTGGCGCTCTTGATTAACAGGTCGCCGGCCGACCGCCTCTTGGCCGCCAACGTCACGCAACTCTCGCCGCTCGACGTCAACCGGGTTCGCGAGTCGGACATCATCAGCGTCGACTCGAAACTGCCCCTCCAGCTGAACCGTTCGTTATCGCTGGCTTCTTGCCGGGCCTCTTCCAACAACGGATCGTGCGACTTGGATCGAGGGAGTGGCGGTTCGAATTCCTCTTCGCCCTCGTCTTCTTCTTCCGTAGTGGTCGAAATGATGGAGGCCTTGTGGTGGTGATGAGATCGTCTGTGGTACCTAGACGCCCGAGGAGTTCCCGGGCTTTCGGACACGGCGTGCATCAGCGCCACGAGTCGACTGCCGATGTGCGTCATGACTTTGGTGACGAGCGGCGGTGAGTTTCTCGACGCCGAAGAATCCGAACTCGGCACGTCGATCCGCCGAAGCGACGCCATCAGCTTTTGATAAACGAACGCGGTGTCTCGGTTTTCGTCTTGCAGTCTAGACCCAGTTTCCAAGTCGGAACTCGTGTAGTCTGAAGAGTCGTACGAGTCACTCCACGTGTCTTCACTGCTCAAGTACTCGACGATCTCCTTGACCTGTTCGTCCCTAATGCCCGGCACGGTCTTCATTAATCTGGTCAGTTCCGATTCGAATTTGACCAACTGCGGTGGCTTGTTTTTCTCGCCCGGCACTTCCGGTTTCGGTTGATTAGCCAACATGGTCTTGAAGAACGCTCTCATCTTGGACATCATGAGGTTCGTCTCCTCGTCTGAACTCCAATTGTTAAAACTGTCCGTTCTCGTTAGACCGTCGACGCCGCTTAACTTTTGCGGCGTTTCCACTGGAGTCGACGCAGCGATTTGTTCTTCTGCCACGTCCACGTTTTCCGTCTTTTCGTCAGACATGACTACGACGTGTTCGCCGGGTTTTTCAACATTTTCCTCGGTTTCCAGAGCTTCTAATGACGGTACTGTCACGACAGAACGTTTCTTTTTCTTTCCTCGCTTTACGGTGTCGAACTGGCCGTCGGATTTATCGAACAAAACCGTGTCGTCGTGTGAATCCGAATCCGAAGACGAATCCTCGTAATCCAATTGTACGTCGACCGGTTGTTCGGATTCGGTGAGGTTATCGAGAGACGAATGTTGCCGTCCCGTTCCTCTGGCTCTGACCAATCGCTTTCTTCTCTGCTCGGGACTGTGTTCAGGACTGTCACTGCCCACGCTTCCGTCCGAATCCGGCCGGTCGAAACCCATAAACTCGCTCAAGAAATACCGTTCCAATCGGGACCCTATCATTTCGGTTCCGGTTTGTTGGGGTTCGATACTTTCAAGCGATTCAAGGCCCTCGCTAATAATGGAACTCGTTTCAGAAAACCCATCCGTGTATCTCGTGTCGTGTTCTTTTTCACCGCAAAGGCCGAAAAAGAAATACTTTTCTAATTCCGTGGGATTGCTCCTCTCGGGTTCCACTTCGCTCTCTTCGCAGCTTTCCTCTACGATCGTGTGCAACGTAAAGTCCAACTCGGACCTCTTGTACTCCGGTTCCTCTTCAAACGACATTTCTTCGCATTCCGAAGACTCGTTCTTAAAGTCGTCTCGGTCCAGATCCTCTACCCAGGAGTCGTCGTCGGCCAAACCTTCTTCCAACGCGATGACCGCCGACAGGGTCTCACTTCCGGTCACCACTTTAACCTCGCTGTCGTCTGCCGGTTCTGATGTGTCTAACGTGAGCTTGTATTCTTCGACTTGACAATCGACGTCGTCACACTCCATCACCTTAGTTGTGTCATTTGCCACAACGTTCACCGACGGTTTGTCGTTTTGTGTGATCATCACGAGACTGGTGTACTTGCCGTTGCCGATGCTGGATTCGTCCACCGGTATCCTTTCCATGGACTCGGTGCCGGAGAATTCGTCCGAAGTGGTACCGTTGGACTTGACCGTCCCGGCCGTGTCCAGTATGCTGGACAGTTTTACGTTACATTCGTCATCTTCGTCGTCCTGACTGTCGTCCGGACTGTCGTTTACGTCGTACGACATTGCGGCGTGCGCGTCCGAGTCGTCCGAATCGTCGGACGTGGAGTAGTACCCGCCGGGAAACTTGCGGCCGTCGTCGTCCATGTCGTCCACAATAACCGGTGTCACCGCCGACGACGGCTTGGCGTCCAAGGTGGCGGCGCGGGTCGCGTACATGGCGAGAGGCACGCGTTCGTCAGCGACCGTCGGCTCCGGCATTTGATCTCCGCAGCCGTCGTCCTCTGTGCGACAGTTTATCACATTTGAACTGTGGCCGTGGTGCTCGATGCACCTACTGTCGCGGTCCCTAAAGTACTCGGACAACACGTTTGCGAACGCGGCGGTGAGCGTCGATTGGGCGCGCTCCTGCGGTATTAATATCGGCACGGGCACGAACACGGGGAACGGTAACACGACCGGCACGAACGTTGTATGCGCGTCGGTTTCGCTCAGTTTACTGCCATCGCCGCGGCTGTCGGTAAACTGGTCGCCTCCGTTACCTCCGCCGCCGCTACTACGGCCACTAATATCGTTACTACTACCGGTACCCGCGCCACCTGTCGACGGTCGCTGTTGCTGATTGTTGTCGTCGTCCGCGCTGGCCATGAAATAGTCCCAGTCGCAATCGTCGTCGGCCGACAGGCTGGAAGACGTATGCCGCCCTCCGCCGTCGTCCGACGACCAGTCTACGCCGTTCAGAAACACTAGCCTGTAGTCTTCTTTGACGCGGCCGCTGCCACCACAACTGGACAGGCTCAGCAAGTTGTCCTCTTGGTCCCGTCGAAGGAATCGTCGACTTCGAGGTGGCGTTACGCCTGAAAAAAAAAGACAGACAATTTTATTATGTGTTTTAGAACCGAGTCGACAGTAGCCACCCTCTTGTATTCGCCACTGGTTTCGGCAGACACTCTTAAGCTTAAATACATTACATATACATTATGGAAAATCTATGATTAAACGTATACAAAACTATAATTAGTCTAGCAAGAAAAATATAGCAATTTTAAAAAAAAAATTTATTTTTTGCTACTTTTGTTTTACTTTTTTAATATGGCGAGCATGAATTTTATTTCTACAATTAAAAAAAACTCCATTTATAATATATTTTTAATATTTATGAATTTATGCTAATTTTCTATCTAATTTTTATATTGTTCTTTGAATAAAAATGGATAACTATCTACAGTAATATAAATACATTCATAATTCATACTTATAATTAATTATGCGTTACATATATTTTAGCTTTAAAACGGAACTCAAAAAAATATTGTTTTCATTTTTGTGTCTGGACCCACGATATTTTCTCAGCCACTAAAACCGATTCGTTCGCAAGTCCATAGATCATAAATCGTACTTAAAAGGTACTTTATTAGGCCAAAACTTCAAAGAAGTTCATCCCTTCCCGTTTAAAATCGAAAAACACTTTAAAAAAAAGTATATATTCTTCAACTTAAAATTACGGCGCCCTATAAATTTTAAAATAGTCAAATTGATAAAATCTGTGATCGCCCTTATTGCACAATATACTCCGTCCCCACTATGCCCCCTTCCCCATTGTGCTGGATTTTATTATTATAATTAAGTTAGCTTTGTCTATACGTTTGCAATTATTATGCTGTACTCAGTATAGTATGTCCAGAGGCGCGCGGCGTTTTTACTATGATAATTAATTAATTAATAATTCTGGGTTATTATAAGTAAAATTATTACTTGATATAATGTATACTTGTTGGCTTTAAGCTGCTAACTTTAATGTTCGATATTTTTAACGTACAAAGATGGCACTGTTTGTAAGCCTAGACTTACCGGAATATTATTAATTATAGCTCGAAATAAAGAGAACAATACGTTTTTGTCGTTGCGGTGTAATTTTTTTTGTTTTTTTTAACTACACTGTGAGATTGATCGGATCGTTTTTCAATCCTTAAAGCGCCGTCGTGTCACGTGTATTATGACAGCACCGGCTGAGGGTAACTGAAACGCGTTAGCGTCAGCCGTTTGCCGTCGAGCCGGAGGAGGATGGCGATTTTTGGCTTAGTCATGTACAAATCCAAAGTATATCGAAAAAAAAGACAGCAAATCAAATAACGAACGAGCCTGCCAATTTATAGAAAAAACAACATAATACTTAAATGTTAAAAACAATACTGCGACAAGATAATAACAAACAAACATCTCACTCCGTCCGCAGTATCGGTGTTTATTGTGTTTTTTATTCACTTTATATGCGATTTCACAAAAAAAAAAACCTAACCGTAAACACTGTCATTGTTTTTTATTGACAAATATTTAGAAAAAGAACCTCCTTCAATTTTACTAATGGCCGCCCAAAGAAGTTTTAAGTATGGATAAAATATAATAATATTAAACGAAGACCACGCGCCCACGGAACACGAAGACCCTTGGTCGTTGCAGGTATATCCGGTTACCGCGATTACGCTTACTCTTAGATTAAATATTTTCAAAACACGTGGCTAGGGTTGGGCAGGGCAGCTGTATTTGAATCGAACAAAACAACGGTTATACTTTTGTTGTCTCAAGCCAAAACCATTTTATTAAAAAAAAAAAACGCAACCTCTCACGGTGGTGGTTTAAAGCCACCAGAGTCCTAACCGACAGTTATTGTGTACTTAAGCAATCTGTCCGATTCGCGAGTGAATTACTGAGCCGGCGGGGTGGATCCTTGTTATCGCATTTAGGCACGACGTTTTCGACCAATAAACTATGTTGTAATATTGACAATAGCTGTTTACAGTAAAAGTGATGGTGTGTTTGTAAGCCGATAGGCCCCAAGCGCCTAGATATCATAATGTCCATGTGAACTTAACTTATGGACGCCACATGGTGTGCCTATCTGGGTTCTCTTGGGATTTCGTCTGTTTCAAAAGATAATAGTATTCAGCGCAAACAATAATTACTAATTTGCCTATATTCATCCATTGTGCACTACACATAAATTATAACGCACATATAATATTATTATAGCGTACGAGCAGTGTTTTAAAATAAAATAGAAATCGTTTGGCTGTAAAGTAATAATATATCATATTATTGTACAATTGACTCGAGAGAAACACAGCGGTGTCGTATAAAATGATAAATGCCAACAACGAAGACCTTTACATACTTGGAAGTGATGAAGATTGAATTTGACACTCAACACAGAAACGCTGACGGAGTGAAAATATTATTAGTTTTTCAGCGTGCAAACTCGAGAAAAAAAGCGTACAAAAGCGAAAATGTGGATTTTCGCGATGACAGCAATCAATAGGTTGTTATTATCTAGCAAAAATGACATTTAAACTGTCAGAAAATACAATAACAAAATTGTATAATACATTTTATTATATTACATTTATTTGGTTATTATTAAATCGGTTGCTCGACGTTTTAGCGCTGCGTTGTGATGTGTTTTTATTCATTCAAAATAATGTAAACCCATTTTCGGTAGGAAAAAAAAATATTTTTTTAAAAAAAATCAACAACCAGAAAGAATCTCGGATCAGAAACATAAGTAATACGAGTATGTTATTGTACTGTGTACATCTTCGCGTAACAACACCTACGCGCAATGCGTTAGATAAGAGTAGTACATAACGTGTAACGTGTACGTAAGATAATTATTGTTAAGAAACGTAATGAGGCTCGGGAGTGACGTACACGCCGGGCACAAAATACACATGGCGATAATAATAATAATAATATGACGGTATGATGTGTTGCGCGCCGGGAGACTTGGCAACCATGGGTGTGACAAATGAAAGCATAACAACAATGGCAATGGTCCGTCGTCGTCGCCGCCACCGCCAACAACAACAATGGTGATGGGTTGCCGAAAGAAGTGGCTGGCACAAGGTTAACCACCTCGCACCAAACCGCGCAACGACTGAACCGAACAATGTCCGGGAACGAGAAACGTAGCTTGCCAATACTACTCGCGTGTATGTTGAGAAGTATAAGCCTAGTAAATTTCAGGCGCTCTAAACAAGTATTCGTTCAAAACGCAAATACCGATTGGCGTACCCAATAAACTACGAACTGCATGATAATAATTATTAAAATATCACATACCTAATATAAGTGATGAATGTAGTGTTTGATTTATAATTACACGTAATATAATAAGCTACTAGGCCGAAAAAAAAAAAGAAAATAATTGACGGTTTTCTACAGAACATTCAAAAACTCACTATAATGGTTTTTTGACGTTTTAGACCAAAAAGCCAGACAAAATGTCGACTACTTAAGAGTGGTCCGATTTAAATTCTGTAAAGACATCCGAGTTTTTTGACAATTTTACTAGGTTATGTAGGAAACAGATTTTTGTTTTTTTTTATGTAAAAAAATTGGGTTTATTATTAAAAAAAAAATTCCATTTTTTTAAAATTTATTTATAAGAAAATTACATTTTTTAATTAAAATCAGCTTACTACAAGACATAGTAAAGTAGTCAAAGAACTCGAATCTCTTTATAGAATTGAAATTGGAAATTGGAAAAACCAAAACGGTTTTTACTCATAGCAAAAATTATAAGTTAAAAATAATACCTTGAAGCTTATAAAAGTTAATCGGTAAACTAATTGAAATTTATTAAAACCTCTTTTTTTTCTTAAATATTGCCTATACAAAATTCCTTAAAAATCAGACAGCATGCAAAATTGTCTTGGGAACGGAAAGCGTTATTTATTAAGGGGAAAAGAATAGGCAATATCTGACAAAAAATCTATCCATCAAAAATAAGTATGAAAGTGACTTGTTTTAGTCTTTATTTGTATAACATTAGGCGATTTCCCTTAATGGCAACAAACCGTTCTATAATATTGAATAAAAGGCAATGTTTAAATTGTATTTACAGACTATGTAGTGTTTGCTGGCAGTTTTAGCTGAAAATGGGCTAACATTTTTTTGTTTGATTTATTATGAATTTTTTTTTATGCACAACTATTTGCGTTGTTTTTTTATTATATATCGACTTGGATACAACACATTATAGTAGAAAACTTAAGCAAATACTTGAAGTAGTATATTATAATTAAAGTAAAAAAAAAACTACGAACCTAGTAATAATTCTGGTATAATACCTGATAAACAAAAATAATAATAAACAATATTTATTATAAACTAATAGATATCAATGAAGATTATTTTCTAGTATCCATTTGCCTTTAAATAAATATTAAAATAATAAGAAACAAGATATAAATGTTGTTAAAAAAAATAATAAACATATTATATCATAGATATTCAGCGATACTGATAATATAACAGAAACGTTAATTATGTTGCCTACCTGTCGCGGATTGCTATAAGAATGTACTTGCAAGAAAAAAGTATGGACCTCTATCTATACATCATTATTCGATAAATTGATACATAGAGTATTTAAAATAATAATTCAAAATAATTTTTCGTTAATATAATTTATAAAAATGAAATTGTTTATCCAAATGTATTGTAATTTTTCGATTGAACAATAAGATAATTTTAAAATGAAAACAGCACATACTGCTTTTAGTATTTAAGTTTTAGTATTATTATTATTATTATTATTTGTTTAGCATGTAACGATATAAGGTAAAAACCAATATAATATTCGAAATATGATTCTATTCAGAATTATTAATTTAATTTTAAAAAAGGCGCATTAATAATGTGTTTCTTCCGAATTTATTAAAAATGTAATTTTGGCATATAACAATTTTGTACGAGCGTACTCGTCTACTGTTTTAGGTCGCGTAAGTTAATTCTATTTGTTCAATTATAATATTGTAAATCATGGTAAACGTAATGATGTTGTAAAATATTTTAGTATAAAACACGATTAGTACTTAATCGTTTTTATACTTATTTTATTCCTCAGATAACAAAAAGCGACGTCAAGGAGTATTGAAGGAAAATGTTTAAGCAAAATAACCTGTTCATTTATGATAAAAGTATTTACATTAATTATGTAATAAGCGAAACCGGGCACAGATTTCAAGCGGGATTTCCCCTTTTATTGGTAAAGTACCCCTTCGTATTCAGCTTAGATGGGAGAGATCCGGATGTTAACGCCTTTAGCCTTTTTGCGTGGACTTCAAAACAAGGAAAAAAGGCAACAACTAAGAACTAAAACTCAAGTCATGACTATCCACCAATAAAATCGGTCGCCAGTTTTATAAATGTAATATAGTTGATTATCCGTATAATCAATGATCAAGTTTGGAAATATTAAACCGATGATTTTTCATATATTACTGCGGTACGGGCCACGTTTTAATGCATATCATTAAGTATATAATGATTTTACGATTGTAATGGCGTTTGTTATATTGAACGACTAGATACAGACTCTTAGATTAGTTACAATGGCAATAGCTGTTATTAGGGGGATATTCATTGGATACTGCAGCAAGAGCGGTCGCTGAACGGCTTTGAACAGTCGTGGCTGTGTATACATTACACAAAGGGTAGCTCGACCACCGTATTTACATAAATAGATCAGAAAAGGGGTTTCCCTTTGACTGTACGATAGCCGACGCTGACTCTGAGCTTACCGGGTGGAATTTGTTTGAGATCTTCGGGTATTTTGGCCGACTCTGTTGTGTTTTGTAGTCGTTGGGACGAACTTACACCGTCCGGTCCGCGGTCGGATTTGGCCGTAGGTCCGTCAACAGAGTCGGTTTCTTCGGTTTCCGTCGCTGCTGCGGGCACCGTCAAGGACCCGGGCTCTAAGTCGATAACTCCCCCGCAAGTATCCACCAGGTGAACGGTGGCGCAGGGCTTGTGCTTTGGCTCGGGTACGCCGGTCGTTGCGGGCACCTGCCGGCACCTGGATGGGTTCCTCTGCGACCACGGCGTGCTGCCTCGGGGCATGCTGCTGTAGGCACGCAATTCGGGCGACCCTCTGACGGCCGACCACGGTGACGGATCTGTGGGCATACACAACGAGACGGTGAGAAAGCGGTTAAGACACTGACAATATAGTTTTATGTAATAAGTATAAACGAGTAGGACGCGGTAGAAGACAGCTGATATTATTACATGGGTGTATACAATATGGGGCCCACCCGCCACAGTAGGCGACCCCCATTAGGTCTGTGGGCAGACTCGTTCGAATCGGAGCGCATAAAGTGCTCACGAATCCAGTAGAAAACCCCGTTAACACGCTTCACAATGATTTACTAATTATACAGTGCCGAGTTACCTTTGAACGTCAACGATCTGTTGAGCTTCGTCTCGTTTTTCTGATATTTCATATTGTCCGGCGTTAAAAAGTCTACGATCCACTCGCTTGTCGGCTCCATAGTCCTGCGAAACATAAGTGTACATATATTATCGATATATGATTTGAGTTTTATTTATAATGTAAAAACAATAGTTCAGGCGCCTTCGGGTACCCTAAAATGTGATATCTGTCATTTATGGCCCTATCACCGGGTATATAAATATAAATATTATTTTTTAACGAAACAGGTAGGTAAAGAAAATATGAGCCAATTACTGACCGGCCCAATATTTCAACAACAGTTGTAATAATGTCCGGCATAGCTAGCTTATGTCCATGGAAGAGTTTGCCGCAATAAGAAATCTTCAAAAACAACTTAATGTTGGTCGTTAAACCAATAAAGGTTCCAATTACAAGTAAAAAGTTTATTTCTATCGACTTTTACCAGATATCGCTTATTGGAAAACGGTAGCTTAGAGTTGCGAACAAAATATTTGAATGTCTTGAAATATGATAATAAAATTCCTAAAAAACTACGGTATTCTTAAAAAAAGTACATAAACCAAGTTTTATTTTACAATGTACATACAAATTGTTCACTTAAGAGTTGATTAATTGATTTAATAAATACCGACGATTTATAATGAGTGAGTATAATTGTACATTATTTTATTTTATTTTTTAGCTAATTAATCATCGGGAAAGACGGGTTCTTTTTAATTGGTGGGTCATTAATATCTGCAGGTTGAATACAGTCTGAATTTGCATTAGGTAGGCTTATTGTTTAATTATCATTAGTGATTACGAAGGCCATGCAAACAATAATGGCCGTATAATAAAACTTATGTTAATCATTAAATTATATTGAAGTAAACAGTTATAATATAACTACATGGTTGGCATGCATAATTAGTAGCAGGACATAGGAATACTAGTTGAAAATTACTATTATTATTATTATTTTAATTTCAAATTCAATAGTCGGGTGGTTAGCGAGTCGTTGTCAAGTAAAAATATATTACTATGTGGTAAATTTATGATAATTTTTAAAATTAAAAAAAAAAAAAAATGTTGTAGGTACCTTGTATTGGCCTACCTGATCCATAAAAAATAAAAATACAGAGTTAACTTAAACAATTTCAATATAATAAACAATTTAAGTAACAGATGCTTGCCAATAAATGTTTGAATTTTGCGTTGCACGCAACAATCAACAATTATAACGTTTGGAAATTCTCATAAATATTAGTATAAAGAGTGCTAAGTCAAAGTAAAACACGTTTTTGAGTGTCATAATGTAACCTATAAAGTAATCGTATTACCCGCTTATGAGTAGGACAGTAGGCGTTATTGTCATATTTTTTATTTTATTCATAATATGCAGAAAAACCATTTTCGCCCCACGCAATATTTTACACAAGAACTATCTTATCACTTGCGTAAAAAAAATAAGAAGGAACATTAAATTCACAACACCTAACTGTAAAGTAAAAAATATTATGTAAATATTATGATTGCTATTTTTTTCAGGCACAACCACGTTGTCTTAAAATATTAGAAAAAAACCATAAATATATTATATATAATTTATTTTTGTTGGTACTATCTGGATGTGAGCGTTGCTATCACATTGAATAACGACACATAATATCCGAGGCACGAAGAACGTTAAAAAACGGACGATTATTTAAGCTGGATTGGTCCATTACGATAATGAATGTATGGGATAAACAGCATATTATTTTTGACAACGGATATCACTCTAGAAAATTTTAACGATCTAGAAGTAAAATAAGCTCAACTTAAAATCATGTATAATACACAATAAGTAATTAAGTGTACAGCGCAATGAATAAACCTACAGAATTCGATTTTACATTATTGCCTACATGGCTATATACAAAATTTAAACAGTATAGGATCGTGTAGCTATACATAATTAATTACACCTGCCGCTGATAAAGTTAGAATAAAACATAAACGACAAATAATTATTAATCCCTAAACCAAAATGATTACTATATCTACAGCGAAGGATAACACGCAATATTTTGCATGAACATAACAGATTCGTCTATTAAAAAAATATGTTTACATTCCTACAAGTTACAACCAAAATCCACTATGTGCACATTATTTTGTCATGCTCGAACTTTAATTTTAACTCGTTGTAAATTATGATCACGAACCTTAATTAATCTCAATATAATACTGGTATAATTAAGTACCCAGTAAGATCTACACAACAGGTAACTTAAATAACCATAATTTCAAATTATAGTTTAAGCGCATTAGATATAACAAACCTAATCCCAAAATACCTTCTAATTAAAATGTCAAAAATAATTACTCGTATCTAATTGCTCGATTAAAACATTTTTACTATTTTTATTTAACTAGTTAGGTACTCTGAATAAACGGAAAAAAAACTTAAGAAAATACACAGTTAAAATATATTTATGGTTTTAAACATGCTGATATCCATGTAAGACGACGTTTTGCATTTTGTCTGAAACGTTAGTGAACTATACTTGCCTAAAAATTGTTTTTTTAATTTATGGTAATAACAAATATAGTACAACACACACGCACAATGTTTAATGTAGGTATTGTGTTTTAAAAACAATAGAGCATTTAAAATGGGAGTAATGTCATATACAGCTTTACACAGATACGTTCTTTGTTGCACGGATGAAACGTTATGTATATAATTTCTTTAAGACAAATACGGTTCACTTTAAGTATAATTGTTATAATGTGTTTTCTTCGTTCTTATACTATGCCAAACGCATGTGGTTAAATGGAGGCAAAATTAAAAGCGCAACCAGAGAACGTCAATGTTGTTATAATATCAGTAAAGCATACTTATTTATAACGCAAAAATCAATATTTTTATGCAAACTCAAAAATAGTTTGTATTATTTTGTTTACTTCGAGAATAACTCGACATATTTTTTTAATACTACTACTATATAGATACAATACTAATACACATACTCGATTTTTTCCTTATGACACCTAGTGCAAAGCCATTCTGGCGCGTTAGTGGCTGTCGAATATTCCCTACAAGACATGCATATCCGTTCCCGGCAAGCACGACAATTGGCTCCTCTGTTGGCGATACGGCCCAGCTCGGCCCGACAACGGGCACAACAGTGACCTGACCACAGGCTCGACTCGCATCGTAAAACTTCTAGTTCTCCACTAGCCATTGAATCTCTAAAAAAAAAATAACCACATACAATAATCATACACCATCGTTATATATATCTAATATCATAGTATAATATAATCATAGTAATCATGTTTTAAGTATAAAATGTGGTTCCGTGTATTTTAAAGAACATACAATATTTGTATAGCACATTATTGGTTAGTTATGCCGTCTAAACAACATTTGTAAGAGACCCCAAAAACTTATTTATTTATTGCATTCTATTTTATGTACGATTTTTAAAAGAAACCGAAAACTTTTATTTAACGTTGTTGACGAAATAATACCTACGGACCACGATTGACAGTACAAAACACTTAAATATTAATAATAAACCACATAAGATTATTGTGTGGTAATAACAGCGAACACTCGAGGTATCTGTTGTATTTTCGAGCGACCGGAGATCACTAGGAGACACTAGATCAGACAGGTAAGCGTTAGTAAGAATTGTAGTAGGTATAGCTCGTTATTATAATGCGTTTCTAATAATTTATAATATATATATATATATATAAATCCGTCAATGTGTTTATAAGACTAATCGATCATCAATGAATTAACAGCGATAAAAAAGTTAAGCTGTTTACTATACTACCGGACCAAAGTAGAGTAACACCACGCCTTGATTGTCACCTAAATGTTATATTATAATATAACGGTATTAATAATATTATGACACCAATATATCTGTCACTCACAGTTTGATTGTATAACCAGTTTAGCTACGCTCCGCTATTTGTGTAATAAAATTAATTATCATTATCATAATGACCCAATTTGGGTAACTAACCGTTTTAGATTACTATTTCGGCGGTGTCGTTAGTAAAAATTATTATTTTTAAGCAAATTATTCATTTTAGTTTTATGTGGATTTTCATCATAGTGCAATAACCGAAGATTAATTGCCAAATTTATTGAAACGGATCACAGAACATCAATGGCGATCGTTAACCGTGGCCAATAATAATTATTGCACTCGTCCACAATACCATTTTATGTGTGCCGTTATAAACTTTTAATTAATATTTTAACGGAGAATATTTTCATCGGATGTCAAAAAAAAAAAACATTCCATTGATGGTTTTCACGATGAATACATCAAACGATGGCGTCGAGCATATTTTATTGTAATTTATAACATACATACTCTGAATGAATACGGGAAATCAGTCATGACGGTATATGATATTAATTAAAAAACAAAACGTTAATACAAAAAAAAAGCTTGAAAATTCCATTATTATAAAAAAAAAACCTCGTTATTATCGCTGGGAGGAAATATGTTCATAGTATACAACATGATCAAATGTTATGTCGGCTTGCACTTTGAAAACCATACAGATTCTCGGATAAACAGTGAGCCTTTTTTAGTGATAAAAATCACCAGCCTGTAAGCTACATATGTAAACACATACAGGATATATACAACGGTTGAAAAAATTCCCTGTTTTTATAAAAAAAAAATTGAATACTTTTATAAGTGCGTTGTTGTTTTATTTTGAACTTCTCTGTGTCCGCAATATAGTAACTAATTATTATTATGGATACAACGACTCGCCAAAAGAATTATTGTATAACATTACCATAATAAAAAATATATTTCAAAGGTATTATAATATAGTAACGGTTTAAGAAGGATGATTAAAAATGAATTCTATATTTTAGGCATACTTCTCAAACGTGTATGGCGTAACTAACGGAGCCTATTGTACATATTATTTTTTTATCCAAGGATCTATGTCATCATCATCATAATAATCGTTATTTTTTTACCAAATACGTCTTAAGCTACTGCGCTGTGTTATTATTTCCAAGTGGCGTTGGGGCATCACTTAGAGTGCAAAATAAAATAATAGTTTTTACTTTTTTCGCTTGAACCTATAGTAAATGCTTTTTTAACTGTTGGCCGCACAGTGGAAATACTGTAATAGTATTACACACAATATTAATAATAATACAGACATGATTATGATTCCCGAAGAAATTGCGTAACAACTAGAACGTTGCTGCACGCAAATATCAAACTTGAGTATCATTATTTGTCTTAACTTCGAAATATAGACTCAGCGATCATAAGACACATTACAAATGACATGAGGTCACGTTACAAAATATGGACGCAAGGTGTCGGTATTATCATGATAATGCATTCTACGATCGTACTTGCACAAAACCGGTAAGCTATTCACTATGGGATTTTTTTTTTTACTTATTGCACTCACATAATATTATTATATTAAGATTATGTCTACAAAAGTGATACGCCGATCCCGTATTAAACGAGAAACGTGTTACTTTAATAACATTAAGTTTACTTAGATTGCGCATAAGATGTTTTAGTATTTTTTTTTATACGATCAGTGGATGGTTTTTAGTTAATGTTTCTTTAAACAACAACGAAACCAGTACTTATATCGAGTAATTTGATACAAATTTAAAAAAAATATATTTATATATTTGGTTTTCAACCGAGGATCTAACCGACTATTTTACACGGTAACCATAATATACTACAATAATAATATGGGAGTGACCTACACCTTGTGACGTAACGCTACCACATGTGTGGGCAACTATAATGACTTATTACACATTGTATATACAGCCTTGGTTAATGTTTTGCTAAGCTAAAAATTTTGTTTTAATATATTGCTTTTACTAAATGACCAAATTTGTATTTTGATATTAATTTAAGAAATAGTGTTCAAATGAAATCGCCTCAGGCGATTTTTTTTATAGAAAATCTAAAACGTAATTAGGATTTAAATTTAATACTATATTACCATCAGGGCAGGAAACTTAAAGTTACATAAATTACAACAAACCGTTAATAGAATGAATATAAAAACAAATAAATGTATAGAATAAAAATGAACTTCATAATGGAGTTCAACTGAAAATATTGATAAGCACGTTGAAAGCCATATCCGTCCATCGTACATCGATGGACAATAAAACGTCTTACGGACAACATTGAAATGTTAATGAGCCCGGAAATGTGATATAAGATTCAGTGTGGAACGACGATTGTGTTTCGATGGGACTGCATTGAAGTACGGGCGTGTTGGGTAAACACAGTGGTGATGTGTACAAAGTCTTACAAAGCATGTTAACCAACAAGACTACCGATTTTAGACCTATTCAATGTATAGTGTAAGTGTCAACAATGGTACAATGGACCGGACTAAAACACATAGTATATAGAATAAAAAGATATTACACAAACATGTAAAATTAATCTCAATGTACATCATGGACATGAGACTTAACTGCTTTTGGGTTTTTTTTTATAATGTGTAGGAGCGATTGAATTATAACTACTGATAACAATAAAAAAATATTACTAAGCCTACCTATTACTGTGTGATGTAGTGAAATTTAAAATCTTTGTTCAATACCAACTATTTCACGTAGACAGACATACGATCATCAAAACTAAAATACAGTTAAAAAAAACAGGTATTTTTCTAAATATATTGTTCTTTTACTACTCTCTACGATTGTTTGCCGCCAGATCTCCCAATCTTAGTCTAGACATATTTCTTTCCAGTCTTACATTCCCGCCGGTTATTTACTACAGATAATTAATATTAAAAAATCAACTCTATAAAGCTGAAAGCATAGACAGGTAATTATGTAAAATCAAGAAACAGCAATTATTTTGGTCCATGTCGTTGAATACGAATGTAAATAAATTTTAATGCAATTTGTTCTATAGAAATAATATTTAACTTTTAATTTTCCATAAGTAAAATACTATTTAATTTAAGGTCTGACATTGTTAAAAACTTGAATAAAATATAATCATTTTCGGTAACTTTTTTAATAGAAACAAACTGCATTTTATATTGCATGTGTTCATGATGCGTGAGCCTGATAAAACTGACGGCTGTTATTTTTGTATTGTATTCAATGAATTATAATCACTAGTAACAAGCTCGTTTAAATCATATTGAGATGATAGGTAAATTATAGTCATTGTTGTGTATTTTGCTGTAGGCGTATGCTTATTGCTTATTTGAGGTCCACGGGGGACCAACCACTTCACCCACGTTTGGAGTTACTCTAAAAAATCAATATCAAAATATATCATAATATGTGCGAAGGATGAGATAACGGTTTTATGATATTAGACGGTTTCTTTAACGACACACAGTAGGTATACAGACTTATTTTAAAACATATACTGAATAATATTATGAAGAGACAATGGACGAAAGCCCAAATAACGACATAGCCATGGTAACTCAAGCTGGATAACGGCCGTGGAGCCACCAACAAAGGCTACAACATGTTTAAATTGCAGTTAATTCGAGATAACTTATAATGGAAACCGCTTAAATTTGATGCCTCGAAGTAAAAGGTTTGTTTTAATTTTGAATGGAGTTAAGAAAAAGTTTAATTAGGTAATTAATAAGTTAATTATAAGTACAATATTATTCCGTTTGAACGAGAATTTGTGCTATGCACGTCGGCATAACTAAAAACGATTAAAGGTTTAACAGCCACATTATTTTTTAATGGGTTTTTTGTCTGTCCTTTAATGAAGTAATCGGTTTGAGACTGATTACTACATCATATTTTAGTTCACCTGCATACGATACAGCAAACAGAAAAGAAAAATCGAGCCTTTTAAAATATTATCATTATAGTATAACAATCAAAAACATGGCTAATTAAACATGTGCTGGATAGGTACAATAATTTATGTGTAAGAGGAAAAACTTATTATGATATAGAGGAAATCGGTTTAACGAGGAAATCATAGTATACACTAAGTTACACAAATCACTACAATGGATTTTATAAACAATAACTGTTGAAGATCATATAATTATTATAAAATGAAAGATCAGGAAAATGCTTTAAAATTAAAAAAAAAAGCAAAAGACTAAAATACAGAAGAATATATCCATTTTTTTTAGAAAAACATAAATATATTGCAGTGTTATATAATTGTAATAATGTATAAAGGTCAAGTGGAACATGATTTTTTTTGCAA